CACTCGGCGGCGGGGAGTCGGGGGCGGGAAGGGGGGGGGGGCGGTCTTTCCCCTCCTGCAATGTCATCTCCACAATTGAGCGCACATCAGCGAAATTACGGGCTCCCAAATTAGCACGAGAAGTAAGCACAAGCATTGATGGATTTTTTTTTTTTTGGGGATACCACTTTTTTGCTGTAAGACAAAAGTAATGTATGCAGGCATTTATTTGTTATTTTGATGTGAGTGGACATCACAGTGTAAGAAGCAAACGTCTAAAGAGAAAGTAAAGGAATATACGAGTTTGCATTTCACGTGAATGTTCAGTGTGTCAAATGGTCAGATTTTCTTTTAAAAAAAAGAGAGAAGATATTTTCTATTATTAATCTAAATTGTAGTTGTATTTTTCCCGTTCATTTTTTCATTATGTCTCCAGAAATTGGACGTTTAACGTTACTTTCTCTTTTTTTAAATAACATATATAAAACTATAATATAAAAATAAAACAATATATATTTTGATGTAACAAATCAACGGCTATAATTAAAAAAAAACTAATAAACAAAACAAAAAAAAGTTTATCAAAATGAAGAGTTTAAGTCCGCTTGTTTTTGCGTCTACGCTGAATTCTTGCGATGGTTTTCACCTGCGGTTGTGAAGGCGTTGTTTGCTTTTAATATTGGTGGTCAGGAAGACGATGACGATGATGAAGAGCGAGACCGCCGTGGATGGTCACCAAGCGACGCCGAAATTCAAGCAACAGGTTTACACTTTATGCGATTGAAAAAGACACACACGAGTCGCTTGCACAACTCGCTTCGTGAGCTGATTTTCTCATTGATTTATTTACTTACTTATTACTTTGTGTGTTTATTTATTGATTGATTTTTGTCTTCACATCACTGTGTACATGAGAAGCATCCGCCATGGGCGTCTTGATCGAACCGATTTGAGGACTCTCAAATTTGAGTTTCAAATTTAGGCTAATGTAACTTTTCAAACTCTTCCAACGTGTGGAGTGGCAAACAAAATCACAACAAGAAAATAAATGATGATGATGATATGAGTCTTGTGGGTGTTGCAGCATTCTAACCACCATAATTATAACATGCGTAATATACTTAAGATTTTTTTGGGGGGAGGGGTGGGGGGGGCATGTCAGTTGGTGAAGGATCCACAGAAAATATATTTTTTTCAATTTAATAATAATTTTAAACAAGGACAATGTCAATTCTTGCAAAGGGGACAACCCCTGAAAAGTGCGAATATTCTTCTGGGACACACACCCCCTCAAAACTGGCCACTCAAAGTCTGATGGATCAACAACAACAAAGAAACGAAACAAAGTACTTAATATTTTTTAACATAACTCTAAAACGAAGAAACACTGAAAAATAATAATAAGAAAAAAAAATCAGGTCTATCATATTATATGATTTCAGTGAGAGTGTGCATAAAATTATTTGAATATACTGTATATTACATTAATAACAGTAATGAGTGCCCGGTGAAAATTGTGGCCTTTTTTTGTGGGTTGTGTGGGGGACATCGCGTGAAAACTGGCAAGCGTTAAAGCGAGGCCTGCCCCCAATTAGCGACCAATAAAATATATTTGTGGAGATATTAAAGGCTTCAAAGTGTTATTCTGACCACCGGATAAGCACCCGTTGTAAATGCAAGACTTTATAAATAATCGAGTGCAAGTAGTAGACTCTGTATGTGCGTCTGCGTGTGTGTGTGTGTGTGTGTGTGTGTGTGTGTTTTCAATATTTAAAACGGTCTCCTCCATCCTCCATCCGCGTCGTCTGCATGTCACCACCCCAGGAGTCTTTTTTTCCACTTATTGCACGAAAAAAATAATCAAAATCGAGGTTGTAATAATCTATAACTATGGCGTAAGCGTGCAAAATTTTATGTGGGTGTGCTTTTAACAAATTAATAACTCCCATTTTTACTTGGTGCGTTCCTTTCGCCCACCAAGTGTAGAAAACAAAGCGATTCAAAACGAGAAATCGAAAGTCAAAGTTGTCTAATTGTATAATTGAGGTCATTTAAATATACACCATGAGTGCAAAAATAGGGGCTGGGGGAGCCACCACGATAATAATGCTCAGTTTTGGACATTTTGTTTATTATTATTGCGGTGTGTGGCGCATAAACTGCGCTGCATTGTCAGACCTAAAATGCATGACGTCACTGGAAAGATTTACGACTTTAAAAAGTGTCCGGGCAACCGATAAGCAAGTCTTGTAAAATGCAAGACGAAGTAGGTGCAATAAAGGGTAGTGTGAGCGTGTCATTTTTAACATGAGTTCCTCCATTTTATTCATTCACATTTTTAAAATTAATTAAAAGCACATTTGCACTAAATATGTGAACGAGCCATGCTTCCAATTGAGTCAATCTTTCGAGTACGCGAACTGCAAACAGCCCACCTGCACTTGCACCATGTTAATGCAAAACGTTTCTGCCGTAGCAAAGAAAACAATAAATATGGAGCGTTGAACATCGAAAAAAAAGGTGGGGGGGGGGGAAATCGGGCGTGGTGCACCTGTCAGCTGTTCCTAATAATTTGGCCCCGCGTGTCGCTCGCTCAAACTCTTCTCGGTGTTTTTCCCGCACAACACTAAACGCCATTTTCTTTCATTGGGCGTCTTGTGGAGGACGTCATCGGATGTACCTAATGACGTGTCCTCGACGTTTCACTTGGAAGCAGAAGCGTCATGAAAGTTTGCCGCTCACAATCTTGACGAGCACACACACATACACACACACACGAATCAAGTTGCGTGCGTGGTGAAACTCTTGCGGGTGAGCTCGACGAGGTGTGGGTGCACTTTCGAGCACTGCGGGTAGGTGGCGATGTTTTATCACATATATGTCTTGACGTACACCGAGTGTGTACGTGTGTGCGTGCAAATGGCTCGCGTACGTCACTGTGATGAAAGAGGACATGTTACAGTAACACACACACACAGATCATGAACACACATTAGACCACGTCAAAAATAGGAACAAACCTAATTCAGTGCAGTTTGGAGGGGATAGTGATAAAAACATTGAATTTTGTGCAATTTTAAGGAAGATGGCTGGATTGTTTTTTAAGGGATAAGTGGAATTTTGGGGTGAATAATGAAAATGGGCTACTTGCAGTAATAAACGTGGTCTCCTAAAGTGCACGTAAGCGTGGGAAGGTTTTTAGATTAAAAACAAAGTGATGAAATGTAAACATATTTCGCCGCACGTGCCACGTCACCCGAGTTACACCTTATTGGCTCTTCCTCTTTTTTTCTTCTCGCAATAATAATAATAATAATAATAATAATAATGATTATTATTATTATCCCAAACGTTATTTTGTGATGTTTTCATGACACATTCCGATTTGTAGTCGTCATTACCATCTGAGACTCGCACAAATGACGCCGACCACCATCGTCATCATCATCACCGTCTTTGCTAAACCAAGCATCATTATTAAGAAACACGCATGCGCAATACAGCAGCAGCAGTATAAATCGAAGTTGCACCTTCTTCCCCAATTGTAAAGCAGCAGTGCTAATCATGATTACCCCCCCCCCCCCGTCACACCACCAACCCCCAAAAATTGATTGAAGGTGTTTTGCGGTGATTTGGGGAGGTTCACTCATTAAATGCAAATATTTAAAGAATATAACAATGCATTCACCTCAGTAAATTGAGGAGGAAGAATCCCCCCGCCCCCGCCACCATCCATCGCGAGGGAGTGAAATAAAAGCCATGAAAAGATATCAAATTCATAAATTATAATTTAATACCAAGAACAAATTTACAGCAGAATGCTCGTTGTACAATAAGCTAACACAAAACAAACGAACGAACGAACGAACGAACGAGAATCGTGTTCAACTATTAGAAACTTTCACGCGCACGCACACTCACACTCACAGGTATCACTTGCAATGGATTCGTCATCATGATCATCATCATTTAAAAAAAATTATCTATACGTTATCAATACCCTGCAGTCATATATTTTTTTAATATATTTATATAAAAAAGGTGGGTTCATAATTACAATCATGTATCATTCTCTGGTCCACATGTGTGTGCGTGTGTGTCTGTGTGATCCCGTCTTTTTTTTATTTTTTTTATTATTAATCATCTCTTTTGTGTGTAATTGTGGCCTCTAAACAATTGAATAAAAAGATTGTTCTCTCTCACGCACACACACTGACACCCCCTAAAAACCTGCTCACCCTGTTTCTAAGTCCTCATATGATGAACTTTCACTTGTGTCTTTTTTTTTTTGTAATGTGTGTGTGTGTGTGTGTGTGTGTGTGTGTGTGTGTGTGTGTGTTTAAATACAAGGGCTCGTGTGTAGTGAACGCACAGATTATATCTATACAGAACGGCCCTCCCTCCCCGCAGTAACCCCCCTCCCCACCCCGTCAATAAAAAGAAAGAACATTTACATTTATATAGCAAATAGGGTAAAATAGGTTAGCGACCTGTGGCCATGCATTCACAGTCTAAATATACATGAAACCGAACAAAACAAAACCAGGAATAAAGAAACAAACTCAAAGAAAATGCGGTTGTAATCATAATAATAATAATAATAATAATAATTAATAATAATAATATGTATGTACAGAACTCGTCAGTGCTACTGAGCCGAGCTGAGTCCGACACTCCGTTGGAAAGACGAGCGAAATGATGGCAACCACACATTTGCTCTGGGCCACACAGAGCTGGTAGAAAAGAAACAAGTTGACCTATATTTACAACAATACTGCCTCACATCGGCATGCTTGCACGGCCGATTCACTCATCTTAAGGATGCACACATCGGGGGAGAAAACACCATCCCCCGCCATCCGCCCCCCGACTTCAACCATGAACGTTGTTGTGGAGAAATCGCGTCATGCTTGTCAGGCACTTCATTCGGACAAAAAGGGGAGGGTTTGTTTTATTGTTAAATCGTGTAATACTGCTATTAAACACTACATCGGCTTGGCTTTTAAACTTGGATGACCCCCTCCCCTAGACCCCCACCCCCCCGGGAATCATAATTCATCGATGTAATATTTCAAACGAAAGGAGTTTAAGGCTGCCGATTGTTCAACGAGGACAAATAATGCAAAGTGTTCTTAGTGGCTCGTTTATTGGTTGGGGAACGTTAAGTGCGCTTGCAAGCATGAAGCTTCTACAGATGACAAAAAATTTAAAAAAAGTCTAGAACAACTCCTATTGCTGTGGTTTTAATTCCTCTCTTGTTTTCTTTCTTTTGTTTGTACACATTCTCCACAAGAATGGAAAATAACACAACCACCAGTTACATATTAAGCCGGTTTGGAACCAACAACAAAAAAAAAAAAATGGAGGAAAGTACAAAAACACACACGCACGCAGACACACACACACACACACGGCTATACATTTGGACACAGGACACAAGTGAATAAAAACAAAATTCCCTTCCTTTTTCGAGACAAAAAAAAATGCACTTAATACTTAAAATCTCCACAACAAAATCCCATTTCCCTCTTTTTTGTTGTTGTTTCTTTCATTAGGAAAAAAACACTTTTCAGTTCAGTCAGTCAGTCAGTGTCCCTTTTTGGAGTGGAAGGAGGGAGGGAATAATTCACAGTTTTGTGTTTTTTTTTTTTGTTCTTCCAATATTCCTTCAGAGCGAAAAAAAAAAGCAGCTAAAATCATTGAATAGTCACCTCCAGCCAGCAGCCCCTCCCTCACAACACTCAGACACACACACACACCACCACCACCACCACCACCACCATCCTCATCCTCAGCTTGTGTCTTCTTTACTGAATGGACATGTAAGGCCAGTTAAAGCTGCTCCCCGACAGCAACATGTCCCTGATGAGCGTTTCGATGGGGGTCTTACCTACCAGGCGGACGAAAAACAACTGTTCAATGACCGACGACGACACGGTGCGCAGCGACGGCAGGCGCAGCAGCAGCTTGCCGAAGCGGGTGGGCTGGTTGGGGTACTGGCTGCGCACGTATTCCTCAAGGGCGCACTGAGACTTCTCCTGCAGGCTCTCCACGTGGGCCACGTCCGACAGGCCGCACGCATCTAGGGCGGGGGGAGGGGAT